GTTTAAGGTTGTTTTAAGGACATTATCGGACATGCACTATGAAAGCCATTCTAAAGCAGCCAGGGGGGGATTCTGCATGAGCCAAAAAGCAGAGACAGGACCAATTGTCAAAATTTTGGTGTCGATCATTCGATTTCATCCTGGACACTATAGAAAATGGGCTTAAAGTGTTAAAAAGTGAACTTCTCCTTTAAGCAGGGCAGTAAGACTCCTAAAAGTTTTCTGGCAGCTGTTGGCTGCTCCGTAAACATTCATTGTAAATGTACCATGTTAAAATGAGTCAGCAATCTGTATTAAGTTTACATTTAATTTTATACACTGAACTTGGTGTCCAAAACCTTAGAAAATAGTGTGTGTATGGAACATGTTCTTTCCTACTAAAGTCGGATGTCCATAAAAATAATGGTTGATTTTGTCTCAGGAGTCTGAATCCATATCTTTGGACATCGAACCTGAGGTAAGGACATTGTAGAAGGATTTCCTGCTTTTTCTGATGCTGAATTTAAGAGGCAACACAGCAGAAGAGGATTATTTTCTCCCTTTTTTCTATTCTTTTAAAACTGAACGAATGTGTTTGTAAATAGAGGCTTTAAAGCAGGTGGGTGACCAAAGCTGATCTACTAACCAGGTGCAAATCAGATTGTGTCACTTAGATGAGCAGTATTAGAATATAATTCAGTTCAATAAAAAAAAAAAAATTCTGATGCCATTAGGAAATACAAATGTGCAATTTATTGATTTTTAGCTGTAGGCAGAAAGTGTCTACTGTCTGTCGTGTCTGAAGACACTGTTGATATTCATCAGTCTTCCGAAGAGGAATATCAGGGTTTTTCTATACTATTCTTCACTTCATTAAGAATTTTCAGTTGTTTAATCATCTTCACAGGTTCAGGAGGTGTTCCCAAAACAGCATTTGTCTTCTTTACCTGCTTGTTTAGATTTAATAAGTCCTTTGCTCCTCCTGAATCCGTATCAATGCTGCTAGTCCAAAAGATGTTGGCAGGGGAAAGCATACTGAACAGATATGCAGCATCTTTCTGCAGACACTGAAGGATGTAAGCTTCCTCAAGAAGAATATTGTTCTATATCCCTTCTTGTACACAATTTCATAGGTGAAAAGAATATGCAACCCATGTAAAATGTTTACTTTCAACAAACAAAATATTTGCTGATCATCAGATCTGTATAACTACCAGAAGGAGCGTATTCAAAGATTCATAAAACACCAATCAAAATCTAATTTATCAAAACTAAATGAGTGTAGTTTCTTTATATTTAGCATACAAATACTGCCTGTGGTATTAATAGCAAGAAGACGCATATACTGCAATGGGAACAATTCATAAAGAAAATCTGCTGTGTATATGTCCAAGTATTTAAAGTGTAAAAACAGCAGAGACATCCCCTCCATCAAACATACTAATTTTAAGTTGTTGGATAAACTAAGAGCCAGTCACAAATGAAAGCCTTGCCATTACCCCTATGAAAATACTCTTTCCAGGAATCAAATGTCTTGTGTCTGCATGGATCATTACAGCAAACCATTGCAGTTAAAGGCATCTCCCAGAGTGGTTTGTCTGGTATGCTTCCCAGAGTAATTAATTTAATTTCATATCACTGGTGAGTGTTCTGCTGTAGAGATGTTGTGTCTCTCTGCACTTGTTGGTCTCTACTTTTAAAGACCATCACCTGATCGAACAGCCTGTCATTAGTCTTTCTATTTTACTGAAAGAAATTAATGCAATAAAAGATGGCATTCTTGACCATAATTTCTTTGTGTCCACAAAGGAATAGGAATTAATTTGTGCTATTCAGTATTAACACAAGTTTTTAAATATATGACGGTTGTTCACGCATCTGTTGTGTTAAAAAAGCAGTCTTTTACCCATCCTTGTTATTGGACTAGGAAGAATGATAATTGGTAAGAGAAAATGTAAGTAGGTTTGTTCTCTGTTTCAATATTATGCAGATTTTGAACATTTTCTTGAACAATCCGCTCACAAACCAATGTTTTGTTCTACCTTTGTTTTCATAAATCAAAAACACTAATATCCACTTTAATGAAATAAAAAAAATACAAACTGCATAAAAGCTACTGCATCATGTTTGTGCCTGAAAGTTATCGGCAACAGCTCCTGATAATTTTTCTCATTTCACACGAACAGAGTACAAAACTAGCCCTCATAAATTGTTTAAGCTTTTATTTTCAGAGTCTTGTCCATCTGGCAGCTGTATTAGATATTAAAGACAGGATTTGAGATGCCATATTTTCTACGTTGGAATTTAGACTTAGTGACTTAACTAGGAATCTATAAAAATTAATCAGTATAAAACAGCATGCTTGTTTCATCATGGCAATTAAGATTCTTGGTTTATTTTTAATTTCCTTATTCAGTGCACTGCAAAAATAAAGTATGCCAAGCATTTTTTCCCTTTAAACTGTGACAGTTATGGCTTGCAACTAAATTAGATTTAAATTAAATTTCCACAGAACACAGATTTGACATACTTGACAGTTGACCAGGCAACAGCTATTGACACCCTGCAAAAGGATGGTTAATCAGGTTAAAGTGGCTTTTGTTCATGGCGCCATGTTAAAGAATATAGAAATAATGTATAATGTAAGTCTATAAAGAAAATATTTGTACTGTCTGCTTTTGTGTTTAGGTCATAACCCAGAAAAAAAGAAAAATAATAAACAGACTAGACAAGTAAGTTGGTGCTTTTTAATGCACCAGCATAAGATATCAGTACATTTTAAAGCAAACAATACCCTCAAAACAAAACAAAAACACAAAAACAAAAACTGATTCATCCCAAAAACAGACCACCCAAACCAAAGGGCGCTGTTCATAAGGAGTACAATGAGGACCGCTCATACTCCTAAATTGGAGAAACCAAACAACAACTACATGGGACAGCACAGGACAGCCAGCAGCTTTAGGCAAAATCCAGCTGTACACCTCAAGAATAAAGGAAACACCTTTGATGACTGCAAAGTAGTGTTGCACCGATACCAGGGCATCGGCCAGGGCCCTGATCCAGCACTAAAATGGTGGTATCGGTATCGGCAAGTACCAACAAATAGGGCACCAATACCATTTAGAGAGCCAAAAGTTTATTCAACTATTGTCACCCATTCCAGGTAGGCAATAAAAAGTTCTACTGGATTCACTTTGTATTAGTCTTTTTCCTGCTTCACAAAGGTGGGCAGCAGCTTGACAAAGCCATGATGGCAATTATTTTACATCCAAGTAGTATGCAGTTCTTCATAAATGCACACACACATTGGTATGGTATCAGTATCGACCAATACTGCACAGTCAGGTATCGTGTATCGGTTTTGGGGCCAAAAAGTGGAATCAGCGCAACACTACTGAAAATTTCAGATCTTGGACAGAAAGGATAAATGGTGTAGAAAAACGGGAGACGGAAGCCATCTTTGTTAAAAGAAATGCCATTACTGAACATAAGGGGAGATCAGCTTTCAAACATCTCTGTCCTGGAACTTATTCCAAAGAGGTTTCAAAGCAGTCTCATCATGATTCAGTTCAGTTCATTGCATGATGCGCATTCCATAACTACATACAGTATAGTGACTTCATATCACAATGTTTTTTTAAATGAAATTGTCCAGAGAGCTGTTCTAAATGAAACTTATTTTTGCGTATACAAAATAATTCTCTCTAAGTCTAAGTCTAGCGACAGCTGATTAGAAGTATCAGCTCTCCAACTACAGCTTTCTTCAGAACCAATATCAAACACACTTCGATAGAAACCTTTTCAGGAAAACTTAGTGAAAGTCTGTTTGCTTCAGATTTAAACATCTTTTGTGGTTACAAACAGCATCTGTCCTCAAACAGGTTCTACTTCATCTTATTAAACATTCAGCTGAAGTTCTGGCTGCTGTTCGCTGTCCAGCCATGAAGATCTATACATATATTAGCAGTGACCAACAAGAGTGTGGAGTCTGTTCACTCTTTAAGGCAGTGAGACTGAAATATTATATTTAACAAACAGTCTCAATTTATATAAAAAATGCCTAATGGATCCCAAAGGGAAATTTAATTTTGTCTTAACTCATAGAGGTTTTTGGTGCATATTTTAATACCTGTAAGTGGGGAAGATCTTCTGTCCACTAGTGAACAATCTGTTTGATTTTATTACATTTTTTTCAAATACTACATTCTTGATTTTTTTTTACTCCAGTTTCTCCTTTTTGCATTTTAAAGCAAAACTAAATGCATGTTTATTAAAACAGCAGTGGAACAATTCAAAAAAGTTTTTTCTACACTTAAGATTTTTCTCTGGACTTTCTTTTTTTAGAAACTCATTGTGGAAGGAAAAAGTAGACTAAAAAAATGATCAAGCAACAAAACCAATTGAAATAGTTAATAGATAATCTATGGATTTTCAAGAGGATTAGCAAAGGGCCACCGTCAAAACAATCAATGCTTCTTTAAAGTGGAACCGCAGACAGTCTCCTCCATGCCACACTTTAAAAGAGACAGTAATTATTCCTGTTTTGAGAGTTATACTTTTGACATTCAAATATTTCTGAATTAAAATCCTTTTTTTATTGGTCTGACGAGATATTCTAAAACTGAATTTTTAGCTGCCAGTTTTGTGTTGTTTCCTTGTGTCTTTTCGGCTGCTTTTATATTCAGGGGCCGAAACAGAAAGTATTTAATAAATGGGATTAAATTAACTTTTTAATGATCTTTCAATTTATTGAGATGCACCAGGAAATTTGTTAAGGAAATCATCAAAGTTGTATTTGTAGGGATTGACTGAACCTTTTAGCTTATTATTAATAACTTAGAAATATACGTGAAGCTTTTTGTTTTCTTTAAAGCAATTATTTAAATTATTTTTAGTTAAAGATATCTAAGATATTTATTTTTTTGCAAGAAATGGTATACAGAGTCAGACGTTCCAGTCACACTGATAATGATATGTGGCAATGATTTAATATTCTGCTTTTGGATTGTATGACAACTACTCCACTCACTTATCCACAGAAATTCATGTGTTCATTCACAAAACATTCAAAAGTAACAATGAAATACTGGAGAGAACATTAGAAGTCTTTAAGCACCTGGCAACATGGTTCACCACAGGAGCAAAGTTTGTTGGACCGTATAATTGCACTGTCTTCAGACTTTGATGGTACGCCTCTAGGATTCCTTCAATACCATTGCAATAAGGATTTTCCATGTTTCCATTCTGAAAATGATATAAAGAAACTTTTATTATAATAGATATGATTCCAAAGGGGGAAAAAACAAACAAACATCTGAGTAAACTGTTTCAGATTTAATTCCTTATCCTGGTTTCGTTATCTAAGATCTTGGAGCGAACAAAAAAAGTGAAATTCAAATTTACAGTGGAACAGAATAACAGTCTAAGCTGTCAAGTTAAATCTATAAAATACATTTGATAGCATGCAAAATGTACTGAAGTGAGTTATTAAATGTTGAGGGAGATTCACCAGTGGGAACTCGTGAGACACTCTCCCATCAGGAGGCAGTTTTGCTCCAAAGCCTAGAGCTGGAAACATCTTGTCGCTGTCGTAGTCCTGAATTATTTCACCCACAGCTTTCAGGGCCATGGCGTAGGCGTTGAGTTGGTAGGGGTTCATGTAGTGTAGAGATGTAGACTGGGAGGGATTACCTGCGGATAAATGAGTCAGAACCTGCTTTAATGGCCAAGTTTGTGCACAGAAGCAAGGCTTATGACTTTGGTTCTACTTTGCAACAAATGAAGAATGTAATTTTAGTTTCTTCCATTCAGTACAAAACAATAAACATTAACAGAATCAATTATCAAACTAAAATTGGTGTTTTTGTATCTGTCAATATCTATGCTTTTTTTTTTATTTAGTTTTTCCAGTACTACTGGCTTATTTTTCCAAAATTAGGCTGACAAGAGAGTGGATATGAGAGAGGGAAAGAGACATGCGGCAAAAGACCACAGGTTGGATTCGAACACGGGTCGTGCACACTAACCACTGCGACACCTGCAAACCCCATCAATATGTATGCTTTAAATTAGGCAACTTAGAGTCATGTACTGTAAGCATCAGGAGATACAATGGGAAGCTTTATCTTTAATTGACAAATCTGTACCAAATCTTACTGTCTATCATATTGTTTTCACCTTAAAAAATAAAGACTACTTATGAAGACTCTTAATCATTGAATTTTTTTATTGATGTATTTTCCATGTTTCTACTTCAGTTGCTCCCTTTAAAAAACTCTTCAATCTTACCCGAGGTCATAAAGTCAGAAATCAGTTGAACATTTCTGTGCATAAAAACAATATCTATCCGGTTTAGAACTGAACCTTTATTTAGAAATCTCTCATTGGTTGAAACTGGATCTGGTGCAGTTGTTCTTTGCAGTTATTCAAGAAGCAAATCATAATACAAAAAAGGCCTTTGTGACTGATCTGCAGTTCCTGCTGTCTGCCTTTTTTCCTGTATATTCCAATGGCCCTTTTTTCTCTACGTCTCCAGATAGCTTGTAACCTTACAGAAAGATTACTGTACAACTTCCCTGATAAGATGTCTTAAAACCTCTAGATTTGTCATACATGTGTTATCCATACTTGTGTGCAACATCTACTTTACTCACTTTGTGTAAATTTACTCCAAAACAGTAGATAAAACCGAGCCTAATTTGCATTTTCATTTTTACAACATTTTAAAAGTTATGTTGGATATAAAGTTAGCCGCTAACACTCATGGTGTCTGTGGCATTGTGATCAAAGTCAAATGTTTTTTTTTAAAAGTCGGTAAGTACATTTAATGAAATGGATTTCCTCAGATAGATACCATTTAACCAGTTCTTCTACTGTATGCCTTGATTGAATCAACTCAGTCAAGTGCTTTGAGATAATGTACTGCGAACTGCTGCAAATAAATAAGTTAATTTTGAATTTGTTGGGCTAAAGGGGCAGTAAAAAAAACCAAAAAACACCATGGATTGAGAGCAGCCAGATAAGTTAGCCTAAAGAAAACATCTCAATAATGTCACAACTCCTCAAGCATGTAGTTATGTTGCACAACTGTGTTCAATGACATTATGATTTACTCTTTTATGAACTAAACTAAGCTCTTTTTGTTTAGGATCAGGGTTTAACGGGCCATTGGGAAAACAGGGCGCTGATGCCCATTTCTAGGCCAGCCCTAGGCTTTCATAATACAATCAAAATATTTATCTGTAATTATCTAAAATATATCTGCGATGGACTGGCAACCTCTCCATGGTGCACCCAGCCTTTCGCCCATAGACTGCTGGAGATAGGGACCATCCCCACTGCAGTCCTGATGGATTAAGAATGAGAAGATGATCAATGTTATCCAAGATATTGATTCATATTAGATAATTAATAAATTTAACAAATGATAACCTAATTAAAGGATTAAAGAATATATCCGCTGAAAACAGTGATGAAAAAAAAGTATTTCTTCTTCACGAATAGGTAATTTTTTTTATATTTGCTATTTTGGATTTAAAGCATAACATATTCTGTCCATTATTTTGTGTTGGTTTAATTGAAAAAATCAGATGATATTATCAGTTATTTAATATTTAGTTAACCTCTTATTTAGTTTCTATATCGCATACATACAGATTAAACTTTTCAAGGAAAATTCAACTGTGATGAGTCGGAAATAGCAACATCCTATCACTCTCCTCCAGAGTGAACTATTGAACTACTCTATGTAGCAGGAGCAGGTCCCCAGAGAACCTACTGAACAGTGACTGTGTACAGTATGCATCAAAGCGCTGTCTGTTGCTGTTTAGGATATTGATTTTAAAACAAAACATTGGCACAGACAGACATCCGCCTCGATTTTTCCCTGGCCTCCAACACTAAGACAAACTTTAAAGTTGTTATAACTCACCATTAGATGCTGTGAAATCTATTGCCACAGTGAAATTGATCTGTGTCCTGGAAGAGACAAAAAAAAATAAAAATCAACAAAAGAGAGAAGACAACCAGTTTAATAATTAATGTGCTTTCACTTGCATGATTTGTGACACAGTAGAAAAGAGAGCAACGTACAAATCATAAAATACAGCTACATTTTCATTCTATAGGAGTTTATTTTTTCATTGTCTTACACATATAATAACACCATAAGAGCACAAAGAGCAGCCCTTTTAAATTTAGGGCATGATGTTCAACATATCTGCCCTCAACTTCTCAACGAGAGGCGGGAGACCAAGCTTGGTAACAAGCTATTACACCGATGGAGCACTTAAGAGCAAATCATAATCCAATTTTCCCTGCTGACGAAGCTTTCCCCTCTACATCTTGCTAATTTATGACAAAATGAGGCCTTAAGGGGCTTAAATGACAGCCACTCGTTATCTAGAAAAGTCACCAGAGAGAACAGGAAAAGAATGATGGTAGAATGAATGTGTTAAATATTCCCATTAACCTTTCAGCTTGGCGTGATCACTGAAATATTCCACAGGCCAACTGTGCAAATGTAATTAAAGTTAATTTTATTAATTAATTCAAATTTTTCTGAAAGGGGTAGCAAGTGGTTCATCTGTAATAAGAATTACAAGTCCTCCGTCTAATTCCTTGTTTCTTTCTTTTTCCCGCTTTTTGAGCTTAAAATACATTTTTAGAGTTAAAGGGAAATTACTTTACACTTCCTAATGTGAACGTTTTTGTTTATTTTTTTCTCCATTTCTGACTTTTAAGGCTCTTCGATAGAATGTTGTCATGATTTCTTTTAAAGAAAAAAAGGGCTACTTAAGTGTAGCTCCCTGCTGGTTATAAATAATGTAATCCAAATGATTTAGCTGACAAGTGGACTCTGAATGATAATCAATACAGGGAGATGTCTCCTCATTACATTCCAAGCATCATTCCCTCTTCTGCTAAGGGTAAGACAGAAAAATCAACAGCTGCTTGACACTTCTCCTCTCCTCAGATGAAGCAGACGTTTTGAATTATTTGAGTACCAAGAGTATTCTGGCCCTTTAATATTTATTATCATAAAAAGTAAAACATTAACTCTATTTATCATCAGAAAAAAGACAGTGAAGATTTATTGATTTGTGCCTTCCCAATATTTTTTTTTTCATTTGGATTAATTGCTTAAACTAAATCTATTGCAACAACTATCTCACACTCACGCATGTAACAGAGTAAAGTTAGTAGGGCAGACTGATGACACAGTTTTCTGAAGTAAGGTCACTAAACCTTAATAATATTGTATCATAAATCAGACGAAGTCGAGAGCCGTCAGCAAAATCTGTCACATTTGTCACTTCTGCCACAGGACGTCGAAACCTCTGACAGCTTCCCCGCCGCGAAGAGGAGGCTGAGATCAAAGCAGGAGCCAGTCTGCCTGGGAAGTAGCACTTCACCTGAGAAATACTTAATATGTATGCCTCAGCCTCTAAAACTAGGCTTAGGTTCAACAGCCGGTGGCTCTTAAGAAGTGAGTTAAGCTTTATCTCCTTAAACTAGAGGTGGAACTTTAATACCAGAGAAAAATCCTGTTTTAAACCAGCAATCAAACTGAAAACAGCAAAAAAAAAAAAAAAGATAGATCAAAAATCTTAGTATTTCAATATTCTCACTGAATTTTTACACATGGAATACATTTTCCTTCAATTTTTAATTAATAGTAGTGGTTGTTAGAATATAATCCTTATATTAAGATCTGATTAATCTAATGTGTTACGGCTTCTGTCAGTTTTTTACATCGTTGATTGATTATTAGCTCAGAGTTTACTGTAACTGGCTGATTGGAAACCCAAACACATTTTCTACTCTGAATGTATTATTTTGAAATAAAAAATTTACTTCTTCTTGTCTTTATCAGCCAACAATTAATACAAGTCAGAGGACTCAGTTATTTCAACCTGGAGAGACTCACACAGAGACAAGTTGCAATTTGAAAATATAAAATCTATTTAGACAGGTAACGCAATCATAATCTTCAAGAAAACAGCTGAATGCGAGGACTAAATGACTCTCTGCCATCCCTTGCACTGAGTATCCATGCAGCGACAGTGGAGCGGAAAACTCCCTTTGAAAAGTAAGAAACCCCCAGTAGAACCAGTCTTAGTGTGAGCGGCCATCTGCCGAGGCCGACTGGGGTTCATTAGAAAAAAGCAGATAAAGACATAAATGAAATTAGGTCTTTGGTGCTCGGGCCTCGGCGAAAGATTCTGATGCTGTGAATCAGCATACCGGTACACCTGGATTAGTAACCTAGAAAGGGATTAGAGTAGTTTTCCCCCAGATCCCGGACACTGGTGGTGGAATAAACCAGAGGATGAGTGGGACTGAGAATGAGGGAGGAGATGGGGTGGAGGTAGGTGAAAGTTTGCTGGCATGTGGGAGAGAGAAGCTGGGCCAGGGGTTTTAGCAAAATGATTGGATTTGGCGAAGGCGCGCCCCCCCGAGCTGATTGTCTGGAGCTGAACACGGGACATCGCATGTGCTTCAGGTGAAACTGATAAGAATCTTCCAGATTAAATTTATGCTTAACTTAATTTCTGAAACACTTCTGAAGATCTTTACAAAATTTCATACTGGTACTACATAGTTGCACTCTACATATCCTTTGTAGGAACGTAGAACTTTTTTAGCATGCTCAAAAAATATGTGGTTGCCCCATCAAGCTGAAAATGGAATCTCTCATGGTCAATTATATACAGTGAAAAGTGATACTGGTGTATTTTCCATTTATGCAGCAGACTATCACATTCTTAATAAAGCACTAGGCAGGCGCTATGGCTGCATGACATGCTATAATAACTTCTTTTAAAAGAACACTAATTTCTAGCATTCCCTCTGCACTCTTGTATACGTATCCATTCACCTTTAAATATTCATTGGTTTCAGCATCTCTTATGATGTGATTTTGCTTCACTAATATGGTTTTAGATTAAATGTCAAGGCAGGAGCCATTTGAATGTCAGATTTTTTACATCAGACTCCCACACTTGCAATGTATGCTAACTTATCACCCATTTCATTCCTGATCAACAGTTTTTATACAAAATAAATAGTCAATACAGTTTGTAGTCCCACAAATACAGTAGTTTAAGCATGTATACAGACTGACCCAAAAAGGTCTTTCACATCTTGTAAAGCTTTTTTAAAATGACCTTTTAATAAGGTATATTTTTATAAACAATATTGTTAATGTTTAAGATTTTTAGCACATAAAAGTTTAATTCCGCTAGATACAAATGAAAAATTGTACGTAAAGCAGTATAATGCCCTGTCTTTACTAGAATACAGTTTAGGTAAAGACTCTCTTGATCTTCACTGATGCTATACAAAGAAAAATATGTCCATTATGTGTTTTTATTTTTTCCAAATGTTCAAATAGTCCATTCCACTCACCCTCCCTTGATGTAATCTAGGAAGGTGAACTCTGACTCAACAGAGAATGAGAGAAGAGTCACCTGCGAGAAAAAAAAAGAGAAAGAATTGATTAAACCCACTGCCGTTGGTGTTTTCCTCCTAATACATCATCTGCCTCCACATATTGACTCAAATCAGGCCTTTGGATCAGGATGAAAGCAAACCGCCTTTTTAAATAATTGAATTATTTGCAATGCCAAAGGACAAGTTTGAAGAGCAGATTGGATGGATTTCTACGTATTACTCACTGCAGCACTTTTGGGTAAACTGTGTGAAACATGGTGCCTCTAATGGTCGTTCATGCCAGTCATCTTTCTGATGTTTTTCAAGGTCTTCGGTTTTTTCCTCCGTTTGTTATCTTTTTTTTCTTTTTCAACAGCCAGTCAGATATAATTCACCCTCATTATTCTTTCATCTCCTCTCGTAATCCGTTTCCTGTCATGTTTCCGATTCCGTTATAAATCTGAGCAGATCAGTCAGTCATTCGTGTTTTTTAACAATACGAAAAAAAAATGTATTTCCTTTAAGAAGTACCAGTTGAATGATAATTTAAAAGGGAACCATTGAATTTGCACAACAACATGAAAGAGAGGTAAACTTTAATATCTGGTATAGTGCCATACTCACTGTTCCTGAGTTAACATACTTCTTTTTCTTCATTTTCTTCTTCGTATTGATCACCTGAAAATAATAAATTGCATTAGATACAAGCAATATTCTTAAAGAGCTTCTAAACGCTTGATTACCAATTATTTATTAAGAACTTACTGACCTAAAAGTTCATAAAGTTTGAATGAATTAATTACTTTTATTTGCAGACAATTAAGCTACATTACAAATAAAACTCATAATATGCAAGTAATGATTCATTTAACTGTGTTATACATATAATTTAGTGCTTATTATATATTATTAAAAAAATGGTACAGAGCTGTGAAACTTATGTTAATCAAACCCTCTACTAAGTACATAACTTCAATAATCTTCACAAATGCTAGTTAACTACTGAATCCATACCACTCAAAATTCCTTTAAGTTGGAAAATAAATTAGTGTATGTAGATATGAACATTTTGTACACATTTACTCTCATACAGTTATTACCCATTGCCCCCACAACCACAACCACTGCAAAAATACATTTACACCTATGTATAGTGATTAAGATTTCAAGGCCCTTCTTCCATCTCATATGTTTTTAAGAAAACCAGTTTAAGTCTTTTCCCAACTTATCACATAATTCTGCATTGCTTCAATTCAACACTGAATTAAAGCAGTGTGGAGGAGAAACAAAATTATATGCTATCTGTTTTTTTTTTTTTGATACCTTAAACTATGGCTGAAGCAGGGCTTTGGTGCTTTATGGTTTAGAGAAGCTTTTGCTTTAATAAGAACAATGTTTCTAATTTAGTCTGGACATGTTCTATATGAGGTTTCCAGCAGATCTTGTAGCCAATAAACACACGTAAGAATTGGATTTCATTTACTTGTCCCACCTCTAATCTATTATGATTTTCACATCTATTTTTTTTCTGTATACGTTTCAAATAACAGGAACTTACTTATCTCTGTTGTTGTTTTTTAGCTTATTCGCTTCTGGGTTTATATCATCCTAGAGTCGCAGTGAGCTGTCAATGTACAGAAAATATTCCTGCCGCCTGCAGACAAAAGAAGCAGTAATGGTTTTATCTTTTTGTTTTATGGGCTTAAAATTAAACAGGTTGTTTGTGTTTTCTCTTTGGATGTAAATAATCAATAATAAGGGTTTAATAAGACATGTTTTTGGACATTTTTGGGGGGTTTGAGGGGTTTCTAACAAGCACAAAAACGACATGAATTGGGTGTAGCTGAAAACCTGCAGATAAGAAGTGATGTAGAAGATGGTGTTACGCCATATAATGTTTGAGTATCGCAAAAAGCAACATAGCATTAAGAAGGCACATCAAGGACAAAGGCAAACCAGAGGTAGAGGGCTCACTCTCCTATTATCAAAGCCTAATGTTTGGTAAAAGGATTTTTTCATGTCCTTTTTGTTAGCTATATCTTTATAACAGAGAAACAGAGGTAAGGTTTATGTTGACATCGGCCAAAAGTAATAAGTTGTGCAACTGCAGGTTTGTAGAATTTAATTACTCCCTTGAAAAACCTTTAAATGTTCATGTTACAAGTACAAAGAAAATACAGTAATCACCTAAAGTTCATTAGCAGCTGCCAGAAGCAGCCCATAAACTGCCTGTTGACCATTCAGACTTGGCCAAAGGTTAAACAAACATCCTAGAAGTCTTTTGGGCAGCAGAGATGATATCAATGGTGTTTTAAGCTTGTGTTGGTAAACACAGATTGTTTCCAGTATTAATGAGCACAAAGGTTTCGACCTTCTCATTACTATCGAAGCAGATCAGATGGTGTTTGTTGTTTAGTCTCTAATGCTCTGTTGCAAAGTCAAAAACACAGCCATACTGAATAACTCTTTCAAGATTAAAAAGGAACAGAAACATGCATTTGCTGCACATTTAAAGTCCAAAACCTCTGAAATAGCCATGTGCACCATATTTAATTTTGGCCATAAAACAAGATGAAAAGCCTGAATGGAGGAGAGCAACACTGCCCCTCCCTCCCCTGTTGCTGCAAAGTGTCATTTGCTAAACCACTTTCCTTCTTTACAAGAGAAAAGTTGGTGTTTAAACACCTACTAATAACTCTTCCTAAAGAGTTAAAGATTAAGTTTGTGTAGGAACAGAATACCCATGTATTTTTTCACGAGGCAATCTCTGTGCCTTTAATGAGAGACCACAGGACATCGTGGTGCCCCCTCCTCCATCTGCTACGGTACAGCTGTTGCTCAATAACGTCAAAGAGGTTATTAAATATTTGACACATTTAGTGATTTAGAAATATTTCCATTCCAAAAACACAGTCATTTATGGTATTGGAAGTAAAGGAGCATCATAAGGCTTATTAAGGTATTAAGTAGTTCCAATTTGTTTTGTTTGTAGATGATACAAATATTTTATACAGAGCTTACAGTAGCTCTAAGAAAATCATCCCAGGGATTAATTAGCTAAAACAAACATTGACTACAATATCTGCTGGGAGCCTGATATCAAACATGTCCAAATTAAACTATTTAGAACCGCTTTTCTTCATAAAGTAAACCATTTTCTGAATTATAAAGCACCACAGATTCTTTACTGTTCACTGTTTTTATCTTACTAGAGCTACTGTGAAGAAGTCTGGGTTAAGACCTACAGGACATCACTCAAAGCACTATGTCACTGCAGAAAAGAGCTGTCATTATCATTCATGAGGCCGGCTATCATGTCCACACTTATTACCATTAATTTATTCCTGGTTGCTTAGTTTCTCTGATTTGGTCAAATTTTAACCTCATTGTTAATGTATTTTAAACTAGAGAGACTCACACAAACAAAAGAAGCATTTAGAAAGATTTTATTGACATGAATGAAATAAGTTCTTTGGCACTCCGACCCCAGCAGAGGACATAATTATAAAGTCTCAGAATGGAAGACCCTGTATTCAAGGCAAGACAGACAGTGGGGTTACTTCAAAATGCATTTAGTAAAAACAGGCGGATCTGCAGTGGCTAGGGTATTTAGGACAGTAACCTCTGCAGGCTACATAGGTTAGTGACCATGATAATCTGGCAGAGGGTGATTATGAAAAGAGTGAGTCACTAACCTGGTTTAACAGTTCAATCCATAGCCATAGAACGAGGTGGGATCCAGCCAGTGGGCTGCCAACAAGGTGCCGCCCAGAGTGTCCCAGATTTTGCAGTCCTGGAGAACATGCAGGAGTCCGAAGCTAGGCCAGGCACACAGATCAGAATAGGAACATGCAAGCTCATAGGTCCAGGGGTCTGAAGCCAAGTAAGGCAAACAGATCAGGTACAGGCAGGCTCAGAGAGCCAAGATTCCAAAGCCAGGTCAGGCAAAAAGATCAAAACAGAAACAGGGAGGCTCAGAGATCCAGGGGTCCAAAGACAGTTCAGGTAAACCATTCAGATGGGAACGGGCAGGCTTAGTACGTATTTGAGAGGCAGAACAGGATCAGGTAATCAGAAAAAGTAAGATAATGCTAAATACACTCACACGACTGAGATCAGACAGGAACAGGCAGGCTCAGTGGTTGAGAGGCATAACAGGTCAGGATCAGGTAATCAGAAACACTAAGGTACGCTAACACTCTCACCACTGAGAACGAACAGGAAGAGGCAGGCTCAGTATTTGAGAGGTAGAACAGGTCAGGGTCAGGAAATCAGAAACACCAAGGTACTAAAAACACTCTCAACACTAGCTAGAGGAAGCAAGAGTTATCTGACTCTGATGACTGGATGCAAGTGCCTTAAATAGAGGCAGGAACAGGTTGATCAGATGAGAGGTTATGAGCAACCGGACAGAGTAACACAGGTGAATTGAATGAATAATTAAACCAGTCATCAGTGCAAAGATCATGACAATAATAGGAAGAACAATACAGAGGAAGAGAACCACTAAGGTTGTGCTAAAGTAAGAAGAGAAGGGCTAAGAATTTATACTGAGCGAAGAAGCGCGCTGATGTTGCACATGGTGGTGAGATGCTCTGATGATGTGCATCATTGGGATGCACTGGTGATGCGCAGAGGTCAGAAGGCGCTGATGATATGCAGAGTGGTGAAAAGCAATGGTGAGGCCCTCGGAGGGCCTGAGATGAAATGCAATGATGCTGCGCCAAGAGGACAGATGCGCCAATTATTGGCCAGGAGGAAAGGTGCACTGAAGCTGCGCCCACAGGATGAAAGGAAAGGTCTGAGATGAGACATGTGCTGATGATGAGCAGAGAGGAGAGAGGACTGATGCACAGAGAGGGCAGGTGCGCTGATGATGCAACAAGAGGGCAGGTATGCTGTAGGTGCGCTGAGAGGACAGATGCTCTGATGATGTGCATCATTGGGATGCACTAGTGATGCGCAGAGGTCAAAAGGCGCTGATGATATGCAGAGTGGTGAAAAGCAATGGTGAGGCCTTGGGAGGAAAAGTGCTGGTGTTGCACTGAGATGAAATGCAATGATGCTGCTCCAAGAGGACAGATGCGCCAATTATTGGCTGAGAGGAAAGGTGCACTGAAGCTGCGCCCACAAGACAGATGAAAGGAAAGGTCTGAGATGAAAATGTGCTGATGATGAGCAGAGAGGAGAGAGGACTGATGCACAGAGAGGGCAGGTGCACTGATGATGCAACAAGAGGGCAGGTGTGCTGTAGCTGCGCTGAGATGACAGAGGCACTGATGATGCGTAAGAAGGACAGATGCGCTGACAATGTGCTAAGAGGACAGATGTGCTAAGTGAACAGGTACACTGAAGGTGCACTGAGAGGACAGATGCTCTGATGATGCGCGGAAAGGACAAATGAGCTAATGATGCATTGAGAGGACAGATGTGCTAAGAGGACAGGTGTGTTGAAGTTGCCCAGAGAGGACAGATGTGCTGATGATGCGTGAAAAGGACAGATGCGCTTATGATTTGCTGAGAGGACACATGCACTGATGCTGTGCTGATAGGACAGATGTGCTGAAGCTGAGCCGAGAGGAAAGATTTGGTGACACTGCAGTGATAGGACAGATGCCCTGAGAGGACAGGTGTACTGAAGCTGTGCTGAGCTTGTCCTCTCGGCACAGCTTCAGTGAGCTGCGATGGTGACCTGTTGAGAAGTGTGATGCAATAGGGAGATGTGGGGCTCTGGTGATGTGCTGGCTAATGACTGCATGCAAGAGTATCCACAATGATATGAAATTACAAGAATGTCAAGGCTAGAACAAGGGAGAATAAAATTATAGAGGCTTCCCACCAGTCATTTGCTGAACGCATTTGCGTCGATGCTAAGTGAGCAATAACCTTCTGTGGAGATGGTAATCCTGAGAAATCAGCGGGTGTGCTTTTGGTATGAAGATGTTGATGATGATGATTTGAGTGGCAGTGGACAGAACTGTGCCTATTATAAATGTAGGGCATGAAACAGACTGAGCGGAAGATAATAAGAGCTGGAAATCCTTTAACATTTTTGAGGAATCATAAGAAAGAGTTCTGGTGAGATGAAGAGATTGCTGAAGAAGGCAAATCTTGTTGGGTTTTAGACCAAACTGAAATATGTAGCGAAGGGGCTGTTTTATTAGCAAAGATACAAGTAATAGGCCTTTTCCTTTGGGATGATTCGGATGGAGATTGGAGTACTTGGGTAAACATGAGATTGAAGAAGCTAAGGCTTACTGAAAATGTTACTTCCCTGAGAAGTCATGAGGTTTAGGGGAAGAATGGGAGAGATGAAACTACTTTAATAAAATGAACCAAGAAGGATAGCAATGAACTTTCTTCCAGTTGAAGAATGATTCTTTGAGATATCCTAGAGAACTTGAATGGTTTTGTTGAAAGCTAGGGACACTGACTGGGGATAGAAGGGTCAGAATTGGCAACGACCAAGCAAGTACATATCCCGGAAAACTTGAGAATGGAGCCACATACTTATAAAACTGAAGCGGATCAACTGAGAGAAAAACAATGACAAGCAAGGGGATTCCATCTATGGGTTGGCTGGACCTGAAATGGTAGATTGAAGAATTCTCAGTGAGGAAGCTGAGATCTGAGTGCTCATGTCGGCCATTGGCAGATGCTGTTCCTAGGACATCTTCAATGGGTCATGGTAGTAAAGCAGCAGATCGTTCTTTGCAATATTGAAAAATGTTCCCAACGTCTGTGCTTACTGCCTTAACCTAAACATCTTAATTAGAGAAATACTTTGAGTTTGCAACTTTAGTTTTGCCTGGAATAGTGAATGTGTATGAGAATGTACACTCCTCTCGATAAAGAATTGTGTGGAGAAGCAAGGAACAAGTTCTAGAGGGAACATTGGAGGTTTGGATAAATACATCTCACCTGTGGAGAATCAGTAACGGACCTTTGACAAGCTGAAGGTAGATGGGAGAATTCAAGCCTCATCATGAAAAAAGGTTTGAGTGGAAGACGGAGGAGGTGCAGGTGAGGCAGAGCCAGGAGTCATGGATTCCGGCAGAGAGATGAGGCGGAGCGGTTAAGCTTGTCCATGGGGGTGACGAGTCAGGAGCAGAGGAGACTAATGATGTCAGGCGAGTCTAGGGCGGATGAACTGGTGGAGGAGCTGAAGTCGAAGTGGGTGGAAGGCGGAGATGTAGAGCAGATTTAAATCATATGTGATAACAGGTGTGACAACTGAAGGTCGGCAGATGCACTCAAAGTTCGGTTGTTGTGCTAAATGGGGAAGCTGGGCCTTTGTCTTGATGGAGAGCATCTTGGAAAAAAAGCTATGGAGAGGGTGCGGTCCATCGTCAATTCAGTGAAGCTTGAGCAAGGCACGACAGCAGGAGTTCCATTTGAAGCTGAGAAAGAGTCTTTCATGTTGAAGGTTTTGCTTTAGCTTCATAAAGCGAAGAACAAACAAGACCACTCAGCATATCATTTCTTTTTCTTGAGTGAGGTAGGATATATTTATGGTGTCAAATTATAGAAAAGACTCATTGTTGAATTAAAGCAATGTCTAAGCATTAGACTATTTAGGAAAAGGATCAAACTGGTTTTCTTTAATAGATACGAGATGGAAGAAGGGCGGTGAGCATCGATGGGTACGCTCAGTCACTAAAAATGGGTGTATACATAGTTTTGCAAAGGATGTGGTCGTATGAAGTATCAGTATTAATTGTTCAATGTGTACATAAATTAATTTGTATATGTAGGTACATTAATTAAGTATTTATTTTTTCACTCAATGTATTTTTGGAGTCGTTTGGATTCATTAGTAAATTAGAAATCAGAAAAGTGGACAAAATGAAGGAGGAGGGAACTTAAATAAGTTATTTACATATATCATTAATTCTACATATTTTTTTGTATTTGTATTTCTTATCTTTTCTTGATTGTCAGAAACTAAGTTACTTATTCATTCATTAGTTTATAAATGTATTCTGTGGGAAGACAAAAATTGTAAAAATGTTAAAAGGTGCATTATGTTCCCAAAAGTAAACACTGTAAATTCTGTTTCATTTTCAGAGAACACAAAATGTTAGAATGTTTTTTTAATGTCTATATAAATGCACTGATACCATGAATATGTACCCAAGGTTAAAATTTTAAACCAACATAAGTTAAAAAAATAGCTACCCATACGCGTCTATCTATCTATCTATCTATCTATCTATCTATCTATCTATCTATCTATCTATCTATCTATCTATCTATCTATCTATCTATCTATCTATCTNTACTTGTTGGAAATACTAATGAAGGATAGATTTCAGAAAATTCATACTTAAGTGTCAAGGTGAAATAAATCGTTGAATGAAATAGGTTTAATGCGCACGACTAACATTTAGCTGCCTTCTTGCTAATGAACAAAAGAGAAATGCCAATTCCGACACCAAAGATGTCTCAGCTCATTACCTCGATTTTCAATGGCTGCCGGGCGTGAAAATGACAGCCCCTAATTTACCACAGAGGGATGGCAATTTGTCTGACACACCAAACAATCTGCTGATGCAAAAACTAAAGGGCCTTTCAGTGTCACTGGGAGGTAAAGAAGAATCAAATGTAGAACATAATGGGTCTGACATCGAAAAGACAGGTATTTGTCTTCCACTGAAGGCCACCAAACCACAGGGGCCTGTAGGCATAGACAGTTCCTTTATTTTTCGTAAGACTCTGACTTTTAATTGTGTCAGTCAAGGATTTCAGCACCTTTAGGATGGCAGATATCAAACAATGCTTAAAGAGTTGTTGTTATATAAATATCACATTTTGTGAGAAAGTGTCAGAGGTGTAATAACAGTGTTTTTGTGTTTAAAAAAAAAACCATGATAATCATAGCTTTTACTTATTCATACGTTGTGGTTAAATCTGGGATTTTTAGCTAGTTTGTATCCTAAGCTGTCGATTGAGAAAACAAGAATCAAAAATAAATCCTTAAATTGTTCTTCTAGTATTCTTGCTTTATCTTGCAGCACGATAGTTCAATTTATATGCACCTGAGTACAATAAGCATGCGATCTTAAGGACAAAACGACAGAAGAGACAAAGTAAATCCAGTTTGATTGATTGTATTGCAGCTCAAGGAAACCAGAATGAAATTGAAGAACCCTAACCTGTAAAAGAGTTACAGGATTATTTTTATGATTCCCCTCTGAGAGACTGTTTCATTATATATACACTTCTGTTCAATTTATTTATTTGGTTATTTATTTATCTACTAATATTAGAGTTTCCATGTAGACAAAAGAATATTTTTTCCAAAGATGGTTGTCAAATGATAGACGAGTCAACCACATTATTTACTCGATCCAGGTATCTTCCACACTGGAATTCCATCTTTTAGGAGCGAACAGACATGCTGGTGAATGGAAGAGAACTTGAAGATTACTCACCTCGTACACGTTGAATTGACTCTGCCCTCGAGCTAGCTCTCTATAGCTGGTAGTGAAATCCCCAATGAAGTCATGGCTAGGGAAAAGAAAGTGAGAACCAAACAAAAAGTCAGAAACCTCAGAAAAGGAGTTTTGGGGCAAAAACAAAACAAACTTTAACCCCATAAGTATTTATACTGAACAGAGAGGCTTTTTGCAATAATGTCAAAACATGTTGTGTTGTTGCAGAGAATTGTATGTGAACTTGATAAACAAGTGTTTTCAATCACCTGCCATCCCGGTCCCAGTCATACACCTCTACTTTGATTGTTCTGTGCAAAGAAAAAAATTCTTCAGTTTGGGAAAACTTTGCACATGGTTGTCCCTTAGCAACACCTTTAAAGGCCAATCGTTATGCCCCTCAAATTTATATAACAACGATAATAATACTCATAATTATCAGATACATATTTTTTTGACCAAATGATTCCTTTGCAAGTAAAGTGGTTTCCTTTTTAAGAACCCTTTAAAGTTTTATATTTTTGCTACATTACAGCCCATAAAACATGTATATATTTGAGACGTTATGTTATAATTTGGATCGAAAAAAATAAATATATATGGCTTCTAATGTATGTAAAGAAAAAGTTGTAATTTAGCTCACTTTACCCTAAAATGCCATAATAAGATACAGCTCTATCAGATGCCTTGAGAAGTCGAAACAGAGACCCCTTATAGTGAGGAAAATAAGCAATTGAAAACCATGCTATTTTCCCAGATCCCCTACATATAAATCATGGAGGGGTCTGAAATTATGAACATAGTTGCATGTCCACTGTCAGAGATATAATCTGTAAAAAACAAAATCAAGAAATCGCAATGTATGTTTTTTTTAAACTATTTTTTCGTTTGATACAGCTGCAAATAAGTATTTGAACACCTGAGAAAATCAATGTTAATATTTGGTACAGAGGCCTTTGTTTGCAAATACAAAAGTCAAACGCTTCTTGATTTTTTTTCACCAGGTTTGCACACACTGCAGGAGAGATTTTGGCCCACTCCTCCACACAGACCTTCTCTAAATCAGTCAGGTTTCTGGGCTCTTTTCACAGTGGACATGCACCTACAATGATCATTTTCAGACCCCTCAATGATTTCTCAGTGGGAGAACTTGCAAAATAGCAGGGTGTTCAAACACTTATTTTCCTCACTGTAAGTTAACATTAATCTTACAGCCCCATAACATCCACCTGGGAAACATGGAGGCTTAAACATCATACATAACACTTTGGGAAATTGTCTCTTTAAATAGCTAGGCCTTCAAGAAATTTAGTTTGTTTTTAAAACATTGCTTTAAACATCACTTAAACCAAATATGGATGCTGTTCTTGTTTAGTTTGCTGCTGGCTCAGTGTGATTTGTGTAATTCAACTACAAATTGGCTTTAAGTTCCAGCACAGCCCTTTGCTTTCTTGTGCAGGCAGCGTTAGAAATCCAGTTGACTATAATGGTTGCAAGCAGTGTAAATTGGAGGATACTTTGAGGTAAAATGAGCCAGTGCACTGACTACACGCTTGTCCACTTTATCAGGCTGGAGTTATTTTTCTAGAGGTTCGGGATTGTCTTTGTGAAGCTATATTTCAAGTTAAAGGTTGTTTTAAAAAGTACTAATTTAGAAAGTCGCAACAGAAATTCACCTAACTCTTGTTATTTGGAAAAGAAAAAAACTCTGACATGAAATCTCTTTACTATGAAATAATTCTTTAAGGAGATAAAATAAAGAATTGTCTGCTCCCTAATATATTATACTGTTAAAGCTTTTCTATTCAACAAAGACATACCAGTCTCTGAAATAATTCTTTAAAGGGGTTTTATAATTTGATAGTATTTCATGTAAAGCTGCATGGTGCAGCTGTTAGAAGAAGGTTAGGTGCAGGTTTTATCATGGTGGAAAAGAGAACCTTTACAAAGCTTTTGCACCAATGCAAAATCAGAATCTGCAGCACATGTTGGCTTCCACCATACAAAACCCACACACTTGCATTTTACACAAACGAAGCAGAAAGTGTTCCTGCAGAGATAAAAAAAAAAGTCAAAAACTTTCCTTGGCACTTTCATTCCATAGTCACATTGATCCCACCTCTACCTCCCTTCTCTCTTCTTCCATCTTACCCAAGCACCGACACCTTCCAGGTCCAAAGGAACCTCAATCAAGCAATACATCATAGAAGCTTTCCTGCTACTGAGGTACTGAGATACGCCTGTTAGAATCCCAACTTCCTCCCTACCATCTGCCCCATGCTGATTCACAGCGTAGGTTTATTCTTTTGAAGGTGTGAGCTAGAGAGAAAATCGGCTTGTCATCCCGCAACATACATGGCCCTTCTCCACCAATGAGGAAAAGAACACACAGAGAAAGAGACAGCAGGAAGGAAGTAAAAAAAGAACAGACTTTAACAAGCTCTAATAACAGGAGCAAACTGAGAACAGATATTGACGTTTAACGACACTCTGTGATATTTTAACGAAGGACATAGATACTGCTATCATGTAAACTCAAATCATCTGACAAACGTTACTGTTTTTTATTTCTTATCTTATCTTACAGCTGTGTAGAAGTACTCTGGAGCTTATTTCCTCTAGTGGTCCTTCTAGAACAACATATACTTGAAAGCTGATCCACCAGAGATATTCTCCTTTGAAATTTTGAAGCATTTCTTTTCAAATATTTTTAATTTATTAATCATGAATGGAAATTAGTCAAACGCAACAAAAATGATCCAGCTTCACCTGTGGTTTCTTTTCTTCATAGTGAAAACTTGTACCAGCTGCTTTTAAGATGAGTAATTCTCCAAGTAGAGTTCACAGTAGAGCAAAAAAACTGACTCAGAACGTACTCTTTCCCAGTGTTGTATAGTAACAAAGTAAAAATACTTCACTACTGCACTTAAGTATATTTTGGAGTCCTTTATACTTTCCTCGAGTAAAGATTTTTTGACAAATTTCAAGTTGACTTCACTATATTTCCGAACTTAATTGCATACTTTTACTCTGATACATTTTCAATGTTTGGTTTAGTTACTCGGTAAAAAAAAGCGAGTGTGAGAGAAATGCAAATGTTTTGACCCCACCTACTGATTGACTGCGACAAAGTCGGTACTTGCCTGGGCTTGTCCATTCCCACCAATAGGTACACCTGTTTCGCTTCTCCCATTAAACACAAAGCCAGTGTCGCTATTTGCGGCAGCCACATGGAAGAGGAGACGGAGACAACGACTTCAACAATGTTGAACTTGGCTACAAGGGAACCACCAGTTGGTGGTGAGAACCCATGGTTGTAGCCTTATTTAAACACAATGTACTCTTTCATGGGTGTTAAAGATTCTTTGTACCGCATTAAGTGTCTTTTATTCCTGCCCAAAGACGTGGAAATTCTATCTCACAAAAACTCCCCGTGCAACTCAAAGAAACACATTGAGGTATTTTCTTATGAAATTGTTATAATCCTAATCTTTCAGTAAGTAAAACTTGGTCACTCTGCACTACTGTGAAAGCTTGAGCATAACGTAGCAGGTTTACACACTCCCTGGTGTATACTAAATTTTGCCTGCACTTGGTTGAGATCACTTTTAAAGTGTATAGTATAGTATAGTATGACCTTACTTGAAAAAGGAAAACTGAAGGCTTACAAGAAGGTTGTATTTTTTGTCTAAACTTGGTCTGAATTTCTCCTGCAATTGGTTGTGTATATTATTTAAATGAATATGACCTTCGTCAAGTTTAACAACATATGAAAAATGTAATTTAAACTGCATATGTTTCACTTTTTACCGATACTTTTCATTACATTACTGGAGTACATCTATTTTTACAGTAATTCTCATGCTTACTGTAAGTACAAGACATTTCAGATAATTTAAGACTTTAACTCAAGTAAAATTAAAGTCAGTGACTTTGACTTTTACTGAAGTTATATTTTGGAGAGGTACTTATACATTACTTTCTGACTAAATCATGCAACACTTTGAATAACATCCAGCTTCCTTTGTATCCTTTCCACTCTCATGTGTATTAAACTTAAACAGGGTCTGTGACATATTAGATTTCTTAATTTCTTCAGCAACAAAGAAAATATCTGTCTTTGTTGTATTTGATCTGTACCTCCTTTTAGCTCTTTCTTCTTTGTCTTGCTTTAAACCTAATCATCCCCTGCCTCCTCTTGATTAATAGAACAAAAGCAAATGATTTTATGTTTTTTTTTTTTATTTGATGGACCATCTGCCTAATCACTGAGTCATGCTGGTTATGACCTCCTTCCTCAATTAAAGCTGAAGGTGGATTTGTGTTTCATCCATTTTTGTGAAGTTGGCCATATGTTAAATTAAATATATGATTAACTTATTTGCTTTAGAGAATCAGATCTTACGTTTTAATCCTATCTAAAGCAGAAATTAAAACATTTCTGTATAACAGTGTATTTATTTGGATTCATCCTTATATAAACACCTGAATTAGACACTATTTAAATAGACTATCCTTAAATCTCACAGTAGTCCACCTTCTACACAGAAAAAACCCAAGTCCACATAAAAGAAAAGGGAAAAAAAATGTTAATGAAAGTAAATAATTTTTAGCGTTTTTTTTTTTTTTTCGTATTTTATGTTAGTAACAGCCATGAATTGTGATGTTTTATGTTGGTAAATTATGCAACTGTACTGAAAATATTCTAAACTTCCCCATGAGTTTATCTATGATTGTTCGACTTGGTCTTCATGATGCTGCAATCTTTACAGAACAGCCCTATTTATACTAAGATTAACTTTCACTTAGCTGGACTCTGTTTACCAGTCAGCTTAAATGTGAGATGCTCAAATATCCGGCTATCAGGCTTCTTTTGTCATGATCTTGGCACTGATAACTGGCTGGATTAATCAGTGCATACATCTGCCTAACTCTGCCTGTTTTCTCAGTACTGTTCATCGGATCCACCTGCTCCAGTCTCTGTTTAACCAGCCTTCTAACCAGTCATCAGTGCCACGTTATTCACGAGCTAGTATTGAGAGGGCTTCAGTGTTACCTTAGTGTTTCCAATTACCTGATACTGACCTATTCTGCCTCTAAATCACTGCCTGTTTAATCTGACTGTTTGACTGACCTGTCCTTCAACTCCTGCTGGATTCTGCCAGTTTACAGAACTTGGAACTGATTCCTGACACCTTCCTTTGATTTCCCTTCGGAACCTCTTCATACGTCTGATCTCCTGGTTCTGACTCATGAACACGTCCTCTGCCCTGACTTTGGCTTCGCCCTCTGGATCTTTCTGCCCTCCTTCGTCTGCCCGGATCTACTCTCCTGTTTGTTGTACTTCCTTCTGGGCTGCAGCGTCTGGGACACTCTGGGCGGCACCCGCTGCATCTTGTTTGCAGTCGACCAGCTGGATTCTACCTTGTTTTATAGGCATGGACTAAACTATAGAACCAGGTTATGGACTCATGTTCATAATGATCCTGCATCTGATTAATGTGACCATTAACCTGAGTTTTCCTCCTGCAGAGGTTACTGCCTTAGAGGTCTTTGCTATTACTACAGATCCGCAGTTTTTAAATAAATCCTTTTGGATTATCAGACTGTCTGTCTGCCTTGAATACTGGGACCCCTGTTCTAAGCCGTGACATCTTTTGAAACTTTAACTATGGAGGAGGAATCTGGAAAAAGAGGGAGAGTTTACAAAGGCCTGACAGAATGTTGATGTGCAAAGCTTTTTATCCGTAACAAAATTGTGTATCAATTTTTTTCATTCACTTTAGCATACTGCATTACTTTGCATTTCTTCTATCATACCAGCTCCCTATAAATACTTTGAAGTTATGAGAGCAGCAACACATCCCACTTAATAGAAAGTCTTTGGACCTATTTTTAATTACTCACAAGGGGAAAAAATCTAAACGAAAGTCAGTCAATACATTTAATCATATAACCTAGCAAATACAGGACGTTTTTTCATATCTGCACAAATTTCAAACTTCTATTAGCGGTATTGTTGAGGGTATTTACAGACTTTAAGACACGTAGGCTGGTTCAGTAAGAGCCATGACATTTTATTTATTCAGTGCGTGGGTATGTGAGCATTTCAAGCATTTTAAGCATGTTTGCTTGGCACAGGAGCATTTTAGGAGGAGCCTTTCATGTCCTTATATAATATATATATAATTGGCTCCGAGAAGTAAAAAAAAAAAAGAACTCAAAGCTCATGTGTGATTCAGCACCAGACAAGTTTCATTCAACTTTACCAAGGCTCCATATTTACTAATTGTGGAAAACCCACATATCCGTAAAGCAAATATCTCTGTTTGTAAATTTAGCTAAGCTTTCTTTTTCACACACCAGTTTCTTAGCAGTTTCCATAATTCGAGTTTGACTGCAGACAAAACAAGATAAGTCAGACACCTTTGAGAGAGAGGAAGTGAGACCAAGATTGAATATTCCTTGTGAAATATTTGCCCCAATAAACCAATCTGTCTGTCACTCTCTTCTTTCATCTATCCTCAAAGTTCCTTCAAGATTTATCTCATTTTTTCACACCACTGTCTTTTTAAATTAGAAATGTGGAGATAAGCTTTGAGGGAAGTGAATTCTTATCATCTTTGACTAAACAAGTTTGCATTAATTATGTGCCTGCTGGGAAAGAACCAACACAGCATTATTTTTGTTTTTAGATTCTGTGTTTATGGTATTTTCAATAGTGTGCTAAAAACAAATCAATAATTAATATTTATCTGCTGAGCATTTAGCCTATTTAGGCAAGCACTTCTTAGTCACCTTAAATACACTGCCTTGAGACTATATTCATAAGCATTCAACCTTTTATTCTATTTTATGCTATGTCGCTCTATGTGCAAACTTTAACAAATCCTTCGGATAACTTTGGGTTTCGGTCAATATTAGGCAGTCCGATCTTAAATGGGAAGAAAATTATTTAATGATGTATTTCTTTTTCTAAAGCACAATCTAAAAATTTTATGTCTTGCTCTGTATTTCATACTGGGTAGGACATTTTCACTGAATTAACAAATGCATGTTTAAGTAGCTATATCTTTACCAGCTCTGTATATCCAAACAAAATGTCCCTCCTGATCTTCTAAATATCTTCAAAGTATCTCAATCGCAGCCAGTTTGGACAGAGAACAGCATCACCATGCTTTGCCTCAGGTTCTAATGCTACATTCACACCGCAAGCAGCAGGAGCAGCAAAAACACGTGTGCTGCTTCATTTTTTATGCTTGTACAAGTTTACTTCTGACGCACAGCTGAAGCATCTTTGCTGCTCCAGTGGCGCAGTGGAAAAGTGGGTCTGATGCACGTTGTGCAGAGCTACTCTGTCCTTACTTTGCCTGTAACAATAGCAGCTATATTTGCTATTATCAGTGGGTATAACGTAGTTTTAATGCTTTCAAGTGCAAAAGTCCTACTGAAAACTTCATCTGTGCAGTCAGTTCATCAAGACTATGACCCTGCCTTCAACTGTTATTTTGCTGTTGGAGCCGCTCAGACCCCCGTGCACCATCGGTGCACTGTTACTAGGAATCAGGTTCAACAGCTGCCTCTGGCCTTGTCGCCTCTTTGCGGTTTGCCGCTACTTTTTCCAGCGGCTGGAAGTAGATGTTAGAATTTTTCAAGCACGTAATCCAAACTGCAGGCACCAGGATAATAAAAGCAAACATGTTTTGCCAGCAGGTTTCGGCATTTCTGGTTAATTTAGGCTTTAAAAAACTGTTTCAGAAGAGTGATCATAGCAATCTGCATCAGCAGAGCTGTGTCCGTCTCCCTGCCAGCTTTTCTGATTGGTTGATGTGGCGTGTCGAGCAGCAAAAGATAAATTTTTCCAACTCCAGCAGCTGCTGCTCCTAAAGCGCATCGCATCAGATGCTCAGAAGAAAAAAATGGTATTTGCAATCTTTTCCAAAGTACCTTCTTCTTTCATTCTTGCAGTCTCCCATAGACCACCTCTAGCAAACTGTGAACAGAGCTTCTTATTTCCTGTTTCTAGAAATGACTGCCCCTTTGCCATTCCTGATTAAAGAGTGAATGAGTTAAAGCTGCCTCATTCCCATCCTCAATGTTGATCCCTGCAGGTCCTCCTGACTTTTGCAACCACGTGACCTGTCCTTTTGTTTAGTCCGGACATGATGTCTTGAAAGGCTTCTGCAGCTTTTGCAGGCCAGCAGTGTTTATGTTTTAATTAGTAATATGAAAACCTTTCATTACGATTTTAATCGTGCAAATTAATTGTTTTTATTTTGGGAGAGATCAAAGTAAATGTGGTGGCGGGGAAATGGTGTTACCTTTTAAAGATTTCTTTTTGCCTTAAGAAATTAAAAGAATACCATGTATCATCTTCCAATCACTTTTTGAGAAACTTAAAAATAAAAAATCACCAGTTTTAGTCTAAATTCAGCTCTCACAAAAGAACAGACTGTATGGGGTGTAATTAAGCTATAGATTTGTCAAATATATTGAAAATGAGAGACGGAATATAAAAACAAATTTGGAAGAAACTGCTGTGGTTTCAAAATTGTAGGTGTCATTTATTTTTGATAATGTAGTTCAGGATGTAGTAACAGTAAAATAATTTAATGTTCTTTATAGCAGTCTTTCCTTCTATTCATGAAAAACAAATCAAAACAAAAAGTAAAGTAACTAGATTCTTTCCATTTGGTTGACTGAAGATATTTATGGGTTGACCTAATGACCAATTTAATCGCAAGGCACAATTTTTACTCTACAATATTTTTTCTGCCAAGCGAAACATAACACTCTATATTTGCATGTGCTGTTACTTTATACACATTCACACAGTTTTACAGAATACCCTTTGTAATTTATTTACCATAGTAAAAAATGACTGGACACATGTAGGATGTTAACAGTGAATAATCACATCATATGCTAATAACAAAAGACCAAAAATCTAGTTAATTATAATAAAATATCATCTACTCCAATTGTCTGTCTTGATAGCATTTAGATCGTCCCTTTTGCTCCTAAATAGAACCGCAGCACCAGACATGATGAACAGACATAAACGGACATGAGGCTACCAATGCAACTACTACTGTAAATAATCATGATTAATAGCACTGATAACACCAGTAGCACTATTAGCAAGGACATGTACTGACGAGTCTATCAACTACATCACAATGATTACAAAGCGAACAGAATAATTTCCCAGTGCAACTCCAATTTTATCCCTTTTTGAATTAAACATCCTATTGAGCCCTCTTACTCTTAATCTGGAACTATTATTTTTTTTCTCGCAACTCCTTTAGACGTTGCCTACTCGCTTGCCTCCTTTTCTTCGGCTCATTGACCCAATTGACACATCAGCAGTGAGACAATCCTGGTCAAAAGATGCTGTTATGGTAAACATACACAAAAAGGCTGTCTTTACTAACAAACTGAGCAAAAACAAAGCTTAATAGACCAAAATAAATACTAAACCAGCAGGACGCTGTGACTTCATGAAGCCATTCTATCCAACTGGAGTGAGCTAGCATTTAATGCCAAATAACGTGACTGTACCTTTAAACCTTCATTGAACACATTTGCAAAATAAAGAGGTGGTAACTTTGAATTCTTTCATATAAAACAAGCTGCATGCATGCTAAAAATATTGATTGTTAGTGGAAATTATATAATTACTAAAAGATTGATGAATACATTTTTTAGGATACATAGGTAAAGAATGCTTTTGAACTAAGGTTCATACTAATGAATAAAACACTCACAGCTTCCTTGAGGTGGTAAGCTTAAACAAACAGGTATGGATTCCCACTGGTTAAAGTATTTCTATATATAAACTGATTCCACTTTGTAGACTTATTAGAAAGGCACTAAGAGCCGTAATGGCAGTCCATTGACTGAGGTAATAGGAATCAGTGACAGCAGATCCCATTTGTGGTGAGTATACTATTATGTTTTATTAATCAGGCAGAGATACAGGGGGGAAATACAGTGGTGAATAAGGAAACAATTTGAAGATATAGAGTGCGGGGAGAGTGTTGTACCTGTCATAGTCCCCATTGCAGAGTGCTCTCACTGGGATGGTAAAGGGCTGCCATACTGGATTTAATGTGTTCTTCACCACCTCTGTTTTGTGGCAGATAGTAAACCTAGAGGCAGAAGAAAATGGACATAAAAAGGATATCCTCAAGAAGAGTGCTAAGATGAAATTGTATTTTTTGTTGCCTGCAACACCCGGAGGGAATGAAAGAGAGATATACTAAATATTCAAAGAAGGGGGAGGAGTATGTGACTGAAAAGAAAAATAAAAATAAAATCCAGAAGAAACAGCAGAGATATAAGTCAGTCATTATCTCACAGTGCCAGGAGAAATGCTTTAAATAGGGTTTTGTTTTCCTCTGGTCCCACATTTTAGACCGCAGAGACCAATTTAAACAAGCATGACAATGACCTGCACATGGATTTTTGAGATATGTGGAGTGCTTTGCAGAGTAGATACCAACCAAAGGTTGTTTTGAAAGGCAGAAATGTGTTTCACACTCTTGTCTTACCCAAAGCCCTGGATTAGGCTGTTTGTGCTAAACTGAGTGTGTCAAGTTTTTAACGCCTAATCACTTTTTCACCCATACTACCCTTTAATTTGCACTCTTGTCTTGCACCAATTGAAAATACTTGGAGCAGGACTAAGGGATCTATTCCAGCATTGTTAAATTTGTTAGAAAAGACTCTCAGGAAAGCCTGTAGATATCTTTAGCAAGTTACAGCTGACGTTTGCTCAAAATACGAATCGCTACAGTCACCTGGGGAGTACTTTGAGGGAAGTGCTCCTCTTGTGAGGAGATTGGAAAGTGTTATACACCTTTTAGCAAATAGCCTCTGTAAATGACCGCTTTTTTGCCCTCATTAAAATGCAGATGCTGAGTTTTGTTATTCCCTCATTCTACATGTTTACATTAATTGCCTCTTTTTTCTCTTCATTTCTGCAGTCTTAGACTCATTTATAAGTAATATCATGGGAATTTACTTTACCCAGCTCTTTTTACAGCCTCCTATGATGTACATGCCTCAGTAACCACAGCAGTTTTCCTTTAAGATTGAGCGAGGATGCAACCCACAGCTCATCTCATTAAATTGTTTCTGCCTCACATACTTTTTTTTTTTTCAACCCCACAAACTTAAAATCTTGGAGATAGATCGATTCAAAATAGGCCAACTTTGTGAGCTGCAAGGAAAATGATACATGTTTGCAAGATGCCTTGCAAAAGAAAACAGGAAGTCAATACTTAAAAAAGGAAAACATTACACATGCAAGTTTTTTTGAGATTTTGTATGTCACAACTTGTTTGAACATTTAGCAACCGATGCGAAAGATGGCAATCAGCAGAGCTCTCTCAGCCAAGCTAACCAATCTACTTGCTCAGTGGATAGCCAGATGCTGCCATCCCATCAGTGTGGTTGAAGATGATAGGCTTGAGCTCACTCTCCAGGCGGCCACATTTGACCCATCTAACCCAACTACCTGTAAGTCCAACTATCCTGAGGATCATACATGACCAGCAAGCCTCAAAAGATGAGAACCACTGGACATCTATCAAAAACGATAACTACCTTTGCGTTAATTTACACTTCATCTATGCTAGCTTGGAACTTCACTCCTTCCCTTTAGGTAGGCTATGTTATGTAACTTTAAATTTAGACACCACGATTACCATGAATGAGTACCACGAATGATTACCACAACATTATATTTGCTTCTTGATGATTGCTTGGGTGAATGTAGGTAAAGGTTAAAAACCTTGGGATCTTCACATAACTATAGACATTCTAAACACAGATTTTAGTATTATCCTCAAATGCTGTTGCCCCAAAGTCAGATTTTTGGAGTAACTATATTGTTAAAGTGGGACAATCTACCTTTTTGCAGCAAAAACACAGTAACACATGACAAATAACTGTCAAAATCATAAATAAGAAGACAAAATTAATCATTTTAAATTCTGGAGGTAGCACAAACATATCATGAATGCCTTTGGTAAAATTCAAATGAGCCATTTTAAACCAGATTAATTCCAGGATTACAGTAAAATTAATCTAGATTAAAAAAATGCATCTATGCCCACCACTAATCATTATATATTTCTTCCATCTCCAAATGATAGATCAAGCAGTGCTTTGTGAAATACACAAAATAATGCTTAAAAAAATATATATGATCTTTTGTTTTTATGTTGCAACATAAAGTTGACGGGGGCTGAATACTTATATGCATACTATTCACATTATCTTAACCTGCTTAAGTTTTCTTCCACTTGATAAAAATGTATGAATTATCTTTGAATTAAATATTTACTGCTCAAAAAAATTTAAGGAACACCTTGAAAACACATCAGATCTCAATGGGGAAACAAATCATGCTGTTTATTTATACTGATGCAGACTGGGTGATGTGTTAGGAACAAAAGTATGCCAAATCATTTGATGGAAATGAAAATTATCAACCTACAGAGGGCTGAATTCAAAGACAACCCAAAAATTACAGTGAAAAAATGATGCGGCAGGCTAGTCCATTTTGCTGAAATTTCGTTGCAGCAACTCAAAATAGTATTTAGTAATTTCTATGGCCCCCACATGCGTGTATGCTGCCTGACAACGTCGGGGCATGCTCCTAATGAGAGGACGGATGCATCCTGGGGTATCTCCTCCCAGATCTGGACCATGGCATCACTGCGCTCCTGAACCGTCTGAGGTGCAACCTGGTGGCGTCGGATGGATGGAAACATAATGTCCCAGAGGTGTTTTATTGAATTTAGGTCAGACGAGTGTGGGCACCAATCAATGGTATCAATTCCTTCATCCTGCAGGAACTGCCTGCATACTCTCACCACATGAGGCCGGGCATTGTCGTGCACCAGGAGGAACCCAGGACCCACTGCACCAGCATAGGGTCTGACAACGGGTGCAGGGATTTCATCCCGATACCTAATGGCAGTCAAGGTGCTGTTGTCTAGCCTGTATAGGTCTGTTCGTCCCTCCATGGATATGCTTCCCCAGACCAAAGCTGACCCACCACCAAACCGGTCATGCTGAACGATGTTACAGGCAGCATAACGTTCTCCACACGGCTTCTCCAGACCCTTTCATGTCTGTCACATGTGCTCAGGGTGAACCTGCTCTCATCTGTGAAAAGCACAGGGTGCCAGTGGCAGACTTGCCAAATGCGGTGTTCTGTGACAAATGCCAAACGAGCTCAACAGCTCCGGGCAGTGAGCACAGGGCCCACTAGAGGACGTCGGGCCCTCAGGCCACCCTCGTGAAGTCTGTTTCTGATTGTTTGGTCTGAGACATTCACACCAGTGGCCTGCTGGAGGTCATTTTGTATGGCTCAGGCAGTGCTCCTCCTGTTCCTCCTTGCAAAAGGGAGCCGATACCGGTCCTGCTGATGGGTTGTAGACCTTCTATGGCCCTGTCCATCTCTCCTGGAGTAACTGCCTGTGTCTTGGAATCTCCTCTATGCCCTTGAGATTGCGCTGGGAGACACAGCAAACCTTCTGGCAATGTCACGTATTGATGTGCCATCCTGAAGGAGTTGAACTGCCTGTGGAACCTCTGTAGGGTCCAGGTTGCGCTTCATGCTAACAGTAGTGACAGTGACCCTAGCCAAATGCAAAACTGGTGAAAAAGAGTCAGAAAAGATGAGGAGGGGAAAAAATGTCAGTGGCCCCTGCCTGTAAAACCATTCCTGTTTTGATGGTCGTCTCGTTGTTGCCCCTCTAGTGCACCTGTTGTTAATTTCATTAACACCAAAGCAGCTGGAACTGAACAACCCCCTCTGCTACCTACCTGACCAAATCAATATCCCAGAAGTTTAATTAACTTGATGTTATACTCTGATTACAAAGTGTTCCTTTAATTTTTTTTTCAGTAGTGAATATCTGTATTTATGTGACAAAATGTAAATGTAACGTCCTTCAAGAGATATGGATATTCTTTTTTTTTTTACATGAGTCTTAGGAGCTTCTGTCCATCTGTGAAGCTATGGTGGTTGGATGTATTTGATGTGCTGGAATCCAAGTTTGATTAAAGTTCAAGAAAAAGACTCTAACATAAGACTTCTGTGGTGGTAGCCTATTTACTAAACATGATATCATGATGTCTACTCAGATGTTTGCGAGAAAGGGCCAAGACAATCTGATGCCAAACATTCGAACAAAATAAAGAAACAACTGAACTTACGTTCCATCCTCATTGCTTCTGTAGAAAACCATGAAAGGATCAGACTTGCCAAAAAAGTCCTTTTTGTCCAGCTTGTTGGCACAGAACTGCATTGTGGCACTGTCCTGCAGAGAGGCATTGACATTAATGATGGCAAATCTCTTTAAGCTGCTTCATACCAATCTGTTGCAACTTTTTAAATATCAGAAGAACATAAAGAGTTACTATATTGTCTGTTAGAAAGTGCTTGACAATCATACATTACCAAAAAAAAATTTCCATCTCATTTTTATGGAATTTGCATAAAGGAAAGTGTTATTTTAGGTATAGTAAAATTGCTAGATGGGAAATGCACTTCAAGAGCTTCAGATCGACATCTATTTTCTAAATAAGCAGCTGATATTTGACCACTGCATATTATTTTCAATGAAAGAGAATATCAACTATATAAAATTGCCTATAACTATATTTTGTGTTCAACTGAGTAGCAGAGGGCTATATATGACCTCATGGCCAAAACAGTCACACCAGGTATATTTTTTGCATTTCAGTTTCAAAGTACAAGAACTTGATTTGTTGTCTTAGATTGTTGGAATATATTTTTCTACACACAAAGCTCATAATAATAGGAACATGTTGATAGAAAATATCCAGGAAGGGAGTCCAGTTAGCTTAAAACCTGCAGCACCCCAAAGATGCTCGCTCTTAGACTTTGACCTGCTTTACATCAGTGTTGATTGTGTTCCATTTTCTATAGCCTGCATCAAAATCTATTTCTATTCTTACATGATTCTTATGTTGTTTTAATGTTGATCCACTGCAGGAATTTAAAGACTGGGGCAGAAAAAAGTGAATTAAGTGTGCAAAATATATTACGTTAGGCTTTTGATCCTTTATTTATAACTTGCTGAACATCCATAACTTTTCAATATCTCTTGTCTTTTTGATATTCCAATTTTATAGCTTTCGATGGTCCTTTGCATATAACTCATCCACTAGAGAGCATTAGGCTGCACATGTTTGACCTGCATTCTGGGGCCGAACGGACCCGAGTGGCAGTCCACTGTGTGTTAGTGGAACGTAGAGCCTTCCAAGGGGTTAGGAGCACTACTCTAAACACCATGTTATCGCCCCCTAAATTTGGAGTTCATTTATGAATATCAGGTGGATATATTCATTATTTTATGCTTTATTACATGAATGAGAATGTATAAATAGTCAAACTGTCCAGAAGATCTTCTTAAATATGTTCAGTCATTGATTTTAAGAGTTAAGCAAAAAAAAAGAAGAAAAACAGACAACAAAAACAGAACATCTTCAAATTTCACAAAATGTTTTACTTTTTATAAGAAGTTTTTCTGTCAGAGTTAGTCTGCATATTGTAAATGTCACTAGCTTTGGAGCCTAACACTGAAGACTACAGGCTCTCAGCCAGAAAACCACTCTACCATTATCTACAAACACGACCTAATGACCCAGCATTTATTTCAGTGGGTGCGTGTGTGTGTTCATGTTAGTGTAAACCTGAATGTTATACAAGCATTTTACATTTTTAATCGGGCAACTGCATTCATGGGGTAAAGGTCTTGCCAACATTAGTCCGATCCTATCATGAGTAACAGTTGTCATGCTAACACTTTCTGATACCTGTCACAACCTGTAGGAGCGCTTTGGATGCTTGCAGTAGATTTTAGAGAAGCAAACAAAAAGCAGAAGCATGTTTTTCTTTCTGATTTTTCCTCTTGTGCATTGGCTTATAGCTGCTTTGCACTAAATGTTTATAGTTATATTTTAGGAATTATTCAAGTTGAAGATAAAAATGACATGTACTCATTCCTGCAAAAATATGGAGATTTAATGTCAGTTTGCATTATTTTAATGATAATTATATTATTTTTTTAAATGCCAATGTGATTTACTGGTCTACATTTTTTTCATGTTAGAAATTAGTCAGACTGAAATACTTTAGTGGAAGTGCCATTTTTTGTCTGTTCAGAATGAGCACTCAGGTTCTGATATCCCAATAGAAATTATACTCACAGATAGCAGTAAAATCTACATAATTTTTACTTTGCACCGTTATTATTGGTTAGAAACTATGATCTTCTGGTAAAACTCTTTTAAAAAAAAATTAAATAAAGAAAGAAAGATTTTAATCCTAGTAACAATGATTAGAGTTGAACCATGAAATTTGCTGGTGGTCATAATGGGCCAATTTTACACTTTACTTGCCCTGATTAGTGATCTGCTGACCTGCAATATAACATTTTATTTTTTTTTTTTTTCCAATCAGTGAACCAGCCTGCACCAATGAATAACAGGGTCAAAAACAATTAGAATTACACTGTGGGAATAGTTGCAAAGAATACCTACAGTTAGATTCTTTTTTCAATAGCAGTTCATGTTTTATAATGAAGTCAAAGGAAGATCAGAGCTGGAAAAGGGTAACGTAAAGAAACTGTTTTCTACGGAGAATCTAAACGAATTATTCAGGCTTCACCAACAGGGTGACACCAGTATGCTAGGTACCATGCTAAACATGATACTTATGTTAAGTGTTAATAAAGGCTGCTAAAGATGAGATTCTTAAATCATTTACACTAAAGAAATAAGGCAATTAATTTGCTAAGAAAATATTTAAAAAACGTAACTGTTTTCCTTTGATATTACACTGAAGACAGTTGGTATTTATTTTTGAAATGATCTTGTAGAAAATAATTGATCATTATATGATAATGTTTTACATTTTTTTTATGCAAAAAGTTATAATCTCACTTTAAAAGATGTAAAATAGATCAATTGTTTTTCTTTTACCAACATTATATCTCTGACCTACAGTCCAGCTGTTTTTACTGTAATTACAGATATTTTATGATGCTGAGAAAAACAGTTCTGTAATTCTATTTGACATAAAAAAAACTATATATATTTATATATTGTTAAGAAATTTAGAGTTTTACTTGATCCTGAAAGGTGAAAATAGTTTGGGGTTCTTTGTGGTTCTTAAAGAGTAATATGAAGGGACTAAATGTGGAATCCAGAGGTTCAGTTTAGAAAATCCACAATTTAGATAAAAAAAAAATACACCTTTCTTTATAGTAATCATGTTCTCCCTAAGCACTGAACTTGTTTGAAATTTTTTGTCATCCATTTCTTATATAGTGCCTTTTGTGAAGCTAAAGTTTAAATCACTTTTTTGTTGTTGAATTTAATTTGGTAGTTGCTCCTCAGTCTCACCCTGTTTATTTTCTGATGGCGTCTGACTTATCACTGGCTTTCAAGCAGCAGCCACTAATATTTGAAGCACACTGGCTTTATTAAGGTTATATTGATACAAAAGTACTTTATTGATACTATAAAATGTTATATCACTATAGTTTTCAGTTTATAGCTCTAAATATTTTCAGCAAGCCCTTTAAGTTTTGATTTGTGTCATGGAGCAAATCAGAACAGCAATGTCCATCTGAGTGTGTGGCAGTTTGCATTTCCACACAGATCTCGAATATTATTTTAGAGCCTGTGTGCATTTTGCTAACATGTCGGCTGTGTTTCTTTATCTGACACTAGCAGACACTGAGCAGCACACACTCCTGAGCACATCACATCCACTCAGCTCCAGCGAAAAGAAGAGACCTATATCTGCATTCATGCCCTCACCCTGAGGACACGTGCACTCTACATGACTGGCTTTTGACACAGCCCGCCTACGCACACTTCACTCTACTTGCAGTCTAATCTATTTAAAAAGAAAACTCCTGTAATCCTTTGGGGGGGCCGTGGGCTGCCTTGTGATGGATGTAAAAGCACTTTAATAATTTTTCCCCTATATGTTTGAATGTATTGAAATGTGTGCTGTAACAATTATTGGGGAGCAATAAAAAAACCAACTTGCACTGCATAAAATAAACTGCTGATTCAAACGCCTGTCAGCTCATTTATAGAAGGACTGGCTTTGTAAACCTTAGAGAACATGACAAGATGAAGTTATTTTCCTCAGGTCATTGCAACCTGTAAGTAGGGCAGAAAATTGAGGGTCTGGAAGGATACAGGGGGTCATTTAAAAAAAACAACCTAGAGAGACATGCAAAGTTTGCTCACACAGAGCCACATTCAATGTGTGGCATGTCTAAAACTATAAAACTGAACTGCCAACAGTATGTAGGATCTATATTTCTAATCCTAAAGCATCTAAGCTTGTGTTTAATATCAAGCAACATATTTTTATGTCATCCTAAATGCATACATTCCAAATTCACAGTTTGTTAAATATAAAGAGGAGCTTAGTCCAAATACCTATGATTCCTTCTGATTGATATCAGCCAATGCTAATTCAATTCCTTGGACGAGGCAATTTGTGTTTGGAAGAAATGTATTTAGTAGCACGTCTCATCACTGGACATAATGGTCTGTAAAGCAATTAGTACTAATATGGACGAAATTTCGATTTCAGAAGTGGGAGAAGTATACAACTATATACTAACATATAACTATATACTTAGTTATATAAATAACTTTTCCTTTTTGATTAAGGGTTTTTTCAAAGTTTCTTTTCTGTATTGCATTTTTATTTTAAACTTCAATTTACAAAAGGTGATCTTTGCTTGCAACAATAAAGGAACAAAATTCACTCCATAATTTTCCACATGAAAGAGCTATCAATGAATGCTGATATAATATTTTTAAAGAATTTTCGAGAATTCAATGGCATGGGTTTAAATTCAGAAGAAGATATTTTGTGACCATATGCGGATTGTGATAAAAGTGCATTCATACTTAGAAGTTTTTAATATATTGGTGTTAAAAAAATAAACCTAACATCAAAGAAGAAGAAGTGGAGGTGGTTGAGGAGGATAAATACAAATAAATACAAAATGGTGTTCACCTGGACAAGAAACTAGACTGGAGACACAACTGTGAAGCCTTCTACAAGAAGGAACAGAGCAGATCGTACTTCCTAAGGAAGCTTAGGTCCTTCGGTATTTGCAGTAAGATGCTACTTATCTTCTCTACATCTGTTCTCTTATTCCACCGTCTTCTGGGGTAACAAAGCTGGGTAAAAAAGCTCAAGAAGTTAATAAAGAACGCACGCTCTGTTCTAAGAACTTCTCTAGAACCTTTGGAGATC